CCATCTCCCACCCCCTCTACCAATCCCGGCGCTGGCTTCCAATTGCCCAAAGGATACAATTCAAAATATTAGCAACGACTTACAAAGCCATCCACAACTCTGCCCCCGGCTATATCTCCAACCTCGTCTCAAAGTATCACCCTAACCGTCCCCTCCGCTCTTCCAAAGACCTTCTGCTTTCCAGCTCCCTCGTCAACTCCTCCCATGCTCGCCTGCAGGACTTCTCTAGAGTCTCTCCCATCCTCTGGAACTCTTTACCCCAACCTGTCCGTCTGTCTCCCACTCTGAATGCCTATAGGTAATCCCTAAAGTCTCATCTCTTCAGGGAAGCCTATCCCGCCTCAACCTAACCGCTCAACCATCACATTCTCAAACAATTGATCCCCACACAACTACCTCCTCATGTATCACTTGCCCCTCCCTTTTAGATTGTAAGCCCTCAGGGGCGGGGCCCTCCTTACTATCTTGTCTTGAATTGTATTGTGATTGTAATGTATTCCTTATATTGTAAAGCTCTGCGCAAACTGTTGGCGCTATATAAATCCTGTATAATAATAATAATAATCAAATGCTGTACGGCGCCACTTTCTGTTTTAGGGATCCAATGCCATGTTCTGCCAGCAATACCGAACGGGTCCTACCAATGCTCGGCCGGGATTAACGAGGGATCCCGCTGTGACTACACTTGCCTCCCCGGCTATCAGATCGAAGGAGACCGCAACCGTGTCTGTATGGAGGACGGGCTGTGGGGCGGAGGAGAACCTGTCTGTGTAGGTAAATTTTCAGGTCAAATGTATGTTCTATCGGTGTCCCCCCGGTGATCGGGGAGGATCCATAGTAAGAAACAGAGAACAAGCGCATTGCTGACCCCGAAGGAAGTCTTTTACTTCACTTCCTGTCACAGTGGAGGTACCTTATCTGAGACCGGGGCTGGCTTCAACTATCTATGTTCCATCAGATCTGGATCCACCCAAAATTCAGTGTCCACCTTCCCGCACGAAAGTGGCAGAGCCGGGAAAACTGACGGCCGTGGTGTACTGGGGAAGCCCGTTGGTGAAGGATACGGCGGACGGCCCTATCACAAGGTAAGAACCAACATTCAGAATAGGAGCAGAACCAAACTGCATCTTATATTTCGATGTTCAAAGAGCTCCAAGGACTCACCGGTCAATTCCAACCTCCACTGCAGCAAATTCACACTCTGGGTGCAAGCTGTAGTGTGCCTCTCACTTCCCAAATCAATCTCCAAAAGATCCGCCACACAGAGACCGGGGTAAGTGTTGTCCAAGATTTATTAAAACGACTCCAACCAAATTCCAAAAAGACAAATCCAAAAGAGTAATGATCCGCATGTACATCACCACGAATGTCTCCCACACCACGCCAACGCCGCTCACGCGTTTCACCACCTGGGCTTAATCATGGAATTTTGGAATTTGCTTGGAGTCGTTTTAATAAATCTTGGACAACACTTACCCCGGTCTTTGTGCGGCTGATCTTTTGGAGATTGCGTTATATATTTGTTACTAAAATAAAGTTTTCCCCGAACATGTGCCCCTCCCCCCCACACTGTGCAAATCCTGTAGACTCTTTGTATGTACTTCCTCTTGATGTGGCCACACTCCAGACGCAGCTGAGCACCATGGTTTTACTGCAGTGATGATTCGGACATTCTGAATTTTCTGAATCCTAATGCATCTGAAGGTGTCCGAATCCGAGTTTCCATTTCCGAATTTCTGATCCCTTCTGAAATTTCGTTCAAACACTAAACTGAATCGGACATTCTGAATTTTCTGAATCCTAATGCATCTGAAGGTGTCCGAATCCGAGTTTCCATTTCCGAATTTCTGATCCCTTCTGAAATTTCGTTCAAACACTAAACTGAATCGGACATGTGACTTTTCTGGCCAATCAGATGTGTTTTCCGGTTTAATGCATCCGAATGGGTCTGAATTTTCGTTACAGCAACATGGGAGCCATCTGATTGGCCAGAAAATTCACATGCCCTAACAAAAATTCGTGTTCAGTATACATTGAGTGGCCAGATTATTATGACCACCTGACGTTTGTAAGCAAATTAGCTATAATTTGGCGCTGAAGTTGCTAGAGGGCCAGACCATTATAAATAGGGAAGCGGGTTGTTTACCACGACAGTAGAAGTGATTTGTTTCTGAAGATTTGGGGAAACAACGCGATGTAACAGCCTTTGAACGCGGGATGATTGTTGTCGCTCGGAGCCATGGAGCGAGTATCAGCAAAACAGCAGTGTTCGTTAAATGTTCCAGAGGGGCTCATTGTTAAAGTGTTTAAAGACCGGACTGTCAGCCGAAAATCTGGCTCTGAACGTGCGAATTGTGGCCGTCAGCGACTAGTCAATGTTAAATTTGGTAGTTGTAACGAATATTCGTTCGTAAACTCATCAGAAACTAACGAAAATTTGGATTTCGTCCGAATCTGAAACCCGAAATAATGAAATATCCGAACCAAACTGAATTTTTCCACAGCTTACATGTCTACTCTCTGTTGGCATGGGCTGCTTGGAGTCCGCTGTGCAGTGAAGGGTGACAATGCTGCATCTACCCTGTTTCCCTGAAAATAAGACCTAGTACTATTTTTGGGAATTGCTAAAATGTAAGACCAACCCTGAAAATAAGACCTATTTGTGACCATTCCCAGGGCTGGTGGGGGCATAAGGGGGAACCTGAAGAGCCGCGGGAGAGAATCAGCGGTGCCAATGAAGCCAGCGCTAGAGGAAGCGACGTGGCAGCGCAGGGAGCAGAGCCGCATAAGCTGATGTTTCCTCTATTGCGCCCACTCTTGTCACAGGTGGAGTGATACCAAATGCACTCCGTCTGTGAGGAATCCATAGTGAAAGCGCGCTTCCCTTTTTCTGGTTACCAAATTGCTCTTGGAAAGGTATGGCACCCCTGATTGCCCTGATAACCCTATTCTTAACTTTGCCATTTTGGATTATTTAATTTGGATTTGCAATAACTTTGGATTGTTGTACATTAATGACAAATAAAAAAAAAGACCTACCCCGAAAATAAGACCTAGTGTGTTTTTTTGAGCCAAAAAAAATATAAGACAGTGTCTTATTTTCGGGGAAACACGGTAAATTTTATTTAAAAAGTATAATACCCAAAAAATGAACATTACTTAAAACCCCCGTTATAGAGTTATACATTTCCTGAAAGCACAGACCCTGTAAAATAAAATGGCAGCAGTTGCAAATTTTTACGTTGCTTAATATTAGCAAAACTTTTTGTCAAACACCAACATTTCTGTAAACATATTGTTAATTGTAGTGCACAAAAAGACAATATAATACGCAAAGTATGGTACCCCAAATTGTCCATAGGCGATGCTTTAAAAGCCTTTGCAGGTCATCAGTTTAGAGTTAAACGTGAATATTGGCCCGGGAATGATTGCTCTCCCTCTGGCGCACAAGACGATGCCGAACATGTGTAGCGCAATCAAAGTTTTCATACTTAGGCACACCCGACGCATGCTTGCTTTAGTATGCGCGTGTTCACGGGGGGCTGGGGACTTTAACTTTTTTTTGCTATTTTTACATTTATGTTATTTAACTTTATTTCTATGAAACATTTCTTTTTTACTTTACTTCATTGCTATCATGTAGGGAGGCTCAGGTGGTACTCTTCAAGGTAACATTAGAGGTCTATTAGGCCCCTAGTGTCACCTTTGCACTTCAAAGAAGCTTCTCAGGCACAGATCTTGATCGAACTGCTTCTTCTCTGGCTTCTCTAGCAGGGGAATGACAGAGGAGGAGCCAGAAGTGATGCAATCAGCATCACTTCCTGCTCCATTCAGCGGGGAGGAGATCAGCAAACAGATTGTTGCTGGTTTCTCTCCTCTCTTTCACTCGTGAAGCCAATCCCAGGAGCAGAGGAGCCCGAGGAGCAGGCCAGGGGGTATCGATCAGGGGGACCATTTTACTGGCCTATGGAAGTGATCCGAGGCACCTTGGCAACCAAAATCGCTTCCACTGTAAAGCCAACAGTCTGCTTTACACAGCTAGACAGAGTCCTGGGGGCTATAATCTGTTCACAGGGGTCCAAAGCTAGCTAGCTAGAGATATGGCGCGGGCAGGGAAAGGGTTAAAGCGATGCCTATGGACAATTTTGGATACCAATGTTTTTTGCCGTCCCATAGCTGCATGCATTTCTGAGGCTTGACATGTTTGCTGTCTATTTACTCGACGCAACATCATCTTTTATATTTTATCCAAAAATTGGTTAAAATAATGTTTTAAATATTGGAATGCTCAAATTTGAATGTTTTTTTTTAACTGCAAATTCGGGTTTGATAAACATTTGCACTAATATTGTGTGACATAAAAAAAGTTGCAACTGCCTCCTTGTTATTCTCCCAGGTCGCTGCTTTCAGAAAATAAATAATTCTGGAGGGAGGTTGGAGCAATTTTCAGCAAACCCATAACAACTGATATCAGCCATCACCGGTGTGGTTAGAACGAATGCCGATTCCGGTTGGTAACAGATCACAGTAGACCTTTTCTCTCGGCAACCTTTAATGTTGTTTTCATGATTCTAGAGTCCTTCGCCGAGGCCCGGAACCCGGCTCCGAATTTCCTGAAGGGGAGCACATTATCCGCTACACCGCCTATGATCGGGCGTACAACCGGGCGAGCTGCAAATTTGTAATAAAAGTGCAAGGTAAGGTCCAATCATAGTGATGGAGGACACGGGCAAAGTGCTTTGCTGCGGTAATAGAGAAAGAAGGAAATCCCTCCTAATGCCGATAGCATATGGCAAGAAATTGATGAATTCACGACTTTTTATTATATGGCATTGCAACACAAGTCATTGTGTATCACTGCAAAGCATGCCCACCGAGAGCTGTGCTGGGGTGCCATTCAGCATGTAGTACTGTGCCTAAATATTGTATCACCACTTGAGGAAAGATGGGTTTCTGTAGCTGGTGTTCACAGGTCTCTGTGGCGCAATCGGTTAGCGCGTTCGGCTGTTAACCGAAAGGTTGGTGGTTCAAGCCCACCCAGGGACGTGTCTTTTCTTTTGCTTTCAAGAGACAGACCTATAATTTCCAATAAGAGGATATACATTGCTTCTGAAGGGGATACTTATCTGGGCGCATATCCGGGCGAGCTGCAAATTTGTAAGGTTCAGTCATAGTGATGGAGGACACGGGCAAATTGCTTTGCTACATATAGAGAAATACTGAAATCTCTCTTAAAGGAGAACTATGGGGTCAGGGCTTTTCCCCATAGTTCTCCTTAGGGTAACGGGAGGACACAAACTAGTGTCCTACCGTCACCCTAGGCTCAGTATACCGCGAGCTACAGCTCTCTATATACTGAGACGCCGCAGCCAGAGCGGATCCGGACATCGATGTCGAGATCCGCCCAGCTGCGTGAGTGACAGCTGGTTCTGCCTATCTAGAGGCAGAGCCAGCTGTACCCGCCCCCTCCCCCGTCCGTTCCGCCAGTCAGCGCTGGCAGATCGGAGCGGGGAGGGGGGAATCCAGCCCCTCCCCTGGCACGGCAGAGAGCCGTGACAGGATTGAGAAGTGAGCGAACACCGGCATGTGTTCGCTCACCTCCCTATCTACTGAGCCGACATGTGACAGTCTCATTGTCACAGGTCGGCTAGAACTATGAGGTGAGTGAAAAGCACTCACCTCATAGTTCTCCTTTAATGCCAATAGCGCATGGCAAAAAATTCATGCATGCGCTACTTTTCATTACCGCATGGCATTGCAATGCAAGTTATTGCGCTACCGCTCGTTGTGCAGCACTGCAATGCATGCCCACCAAGTGGTGTGCTGGGGTGCCATTCATTCTTCACCTAGCATGAGGTACTGTGCCTAAATATTGTATCACTAGATGAGAAAAATGGGTTTCTGAAACCAGTGTTCAAGGTTTGTAATAAATGTGCAGGGTAGAGTTCAGTCGTAGTGATGGAGGACACGGGGAAATTGCTTTGCTGCGGTAATATAGAAAGAAAGAAATCCCTCTTAATGCAAATTGCATATGGTAGAAATTGATGAACGCGCTACTTTGTATTATATGGCATTGCAACACAGGTCATTGTGTAGCACTGCAAAGCATGCCCACCTAAAGGTGTGCTTGGATTTAGAATGAATGGCACCCCAAAGCACCCAACATGTACTACTGTACCTAATTATTGTAATGCTAGCTGAGAAAACTGGGTTTCTGAAACTAGTGCTCACAGGTCTCTGAGGCGCAATCGGTTAGCGCGTTCGGCTGTTAACTGAAAGGTTGGTGGTTCAAGCCCACCCAGGGACGGTGTATTTTTCCTGCTTTCAAGAGAAAATGAGAGAAGAATATACATTGCTGCTGCCCATTTGCCAGAGGTGTGCTGGGGTGCCATCCCTTCTAAACGCACCTAGCATGAGGTACTGTGCCTAAATATTGTATCACTAGATGAGAAAAATGAGTTTCTGAAACCAGTGTTCACAGGTTTGTAATAAATGTGCAAGGTAGAGTTCAGTCATAGTGATGGAGGACACGGGGAAAATGGGTTTCTGAAACCAGTGTTCACAGGTCTCTGTAGCGCAATCGGGTAGCGCGTTCGGCTGTTAACCGAAATGTAACAACCCGAAAGGTTTGTAATAAATGTGCAAGGTAGAGTTCAGTCGTATTGATGGAGGACACGGGGAAAGTACTTTGCTACAGTAATAGAGAAAGACTGAAATCCCTTTTAATGCCGATAGCATATGGGAAGAAATTGATGAATGCGCTACTTTTTATTATATGGCATTGTGTATCACTGCAAATCATGCCCACCGAGGGGTGTGCTGGGGTACCATTCAGAAGGAATGGCACCCCAACACACCTAACATGTAGTACTGTGCCCAAATATTGCATCAGTGCTTGAGAAAACTGGGTTTCTGAAACTAGTGTTCACAGGTCTCTGTGGCGCAATCGGTTAGCGCGTTCGGCTGTTAACCGAAAGGTTGGTGGTTCAAGCCCACCCAGGGACGTGTTGCTTTTTTTTTTTTGCTTTCAAGAGGCCTATCATTACCATTTAAGAGAAGGATATACCTTGCCGCTGCCCCCTTCTGGCCTCCGCCTTGCGACAGCGAAGCTATCTAATCTCTGAGCTGGAACATGCATGCGAACAAGGTGGTGGGGTGGGATTTGACTTAAAGTGTATGTAACCCCTAACAATTAACTTCTCCTATTTGCTCCCTTTTGAGCTGCTAAATATACCATCAAATATGTTTTGTTATATCTGTTTAATAAGTAGAAACAAATACCTGTTGATCCTGCCAGAAATCCAGTGCTTTGGGGCACTCCAGTGTCTTGTGCACTCTGCAGTCTTATCTCAAACAGTGTTATCAGCCCTGCCTTGTTCCTGTCTGTGACTACAGAAAACCTCTCCCTTTGTTATGGAGATGAGGAGGGGGGTCACGTGTTCTGTAGTCCTGCCTTAAGGTGACACACTCTCCTCCTTTATAGGTACAGTATGGTTAGTGTACTTTGTCATCCTAGGACAGGAAGTGTGTTACCGGCAGGATCACCAGGTGAAAATCCTAAAAAAAAAATCCAGCCAGCACAGCTATAGGCTGGTGACCTGCAGCATATTACATTTTTGGTTTTGGGTTTAGATATTATTTAAAGGAGAATTATGAGGAGAGTGATTTTCACTCAGCCTCCTAATCTGAGCCGAGCTGTGACAATGAGACTGTCACAGGTCGGCTCAGTAGATCGGGAAGTGAGCGAACACATAGCGGCGCTCGCTCACTTCTCGATCTATCCGTGCAGAGAGCCGTGACTGTCACTCACGGCTCCCTGCAGTGATTCCCCCCCCCTCCCCGCTCATCCAGCGCTGACTGGCGGAACGGACGGGGAGGGGGCGGGTACAGCTGGCTCCGCCTCTAGATAGGCAGAGCCAGCTGTCACTCACTCAGCTGGGTGGATCCAGACATAATTGTCGGGATCAGTTCCGGCTGCTGCGTCTCGGTATATAGGGAGCTGTAGCTCGCGGTATACTGAGCTTTGGGTGACGGGAGCATGCTACTTTGTCTCCTCCCGTTACTCTATGGGGGGAAAGCACTGACCCCATAGTTCTCCTTTAATTGAGCTTCTTACAATGTTCATTAGAATCTGCACCAAGTCTGATAGAGCCCGCCTCATTTCCTGACTAGAGGACATCTGGCCCCGCCCCTTTTATTGATTGGATTTCAGCTCTTTCAACCATGGAGGCTCACCATCACATGTGGGCAGTCTGCATGCAAATGAAGCCTGCCTAGGAACACCTACTCCTCCAGACTGACGTCCATCCATCAAGGCATTTTGATTTTTGCATAACTCCTCCCAAGAGCCCGCCCCCTGCTTGCATCAAGAGGCTGGCGGCTCTTGAGAGCAGTACTGAGTCAGGGTGCAGTGATGTTTTCAGAAAGCTACGTACAGCACCCTGCCGGCCCCACCTTCCCATCAGCCATCATGGGATCTGAAATAAGGTATGTAATGAAAACAGGTTTTATTTAAAAATGTCATTAGCATGTTGATAAGGGGAAAAGAGGAACCAGAGAAGGAAAATTGTATAAGCAGATTAAACTTCATCATTAAGGTCCAAATAAGAAGATTGTGAAACTTAGTTCTGTGGCTTTTTTTTTGTCCCGCAGTGAAGAGATGTCCTGTACTCACTCCCCCGCTCCATGGCTACATTACTTGCAGCGGTGCAGGAGATAATTATGGAGCCAACTGCGAGTATCACTGTGAAGGAAGCCATGAACGCCAGGGGTTGGCCCTCAGGGTGTGCCAGTTCAGCGGGCAGTGGGCCGGAACACCAGCTACGTGTACCCGTAAGTAATCTTATTATATACAGAGAATATACAGGAGAGAGAGAGAGAGGAGAGCTAGCCAGCAGAGAGAGGAGAGCTAGCCAGGAGAGAGAGGAGAGCTAGCCAGGAGAGAGAGGAGAGCTAGCCAGGAGAGAGAGGAGAGCTAGCCAGGAGAGAGAGGAGAGCTAGCCAGGAGAGAGAGGAGAGCTAGCCAGGAGAGAGAGGAGAGCTAGCCAGGAGAGAGAGGAGAGCTAGCCAGGAGAGAGAGGAGAGCTAGCCAGGAGAGAGAGGAGAGCTAGCCAGGAGAGAGAGGAGAGCTAGCCAGGAGAGAGAGGAGAGCTAGCCAGGAGAGAGAGGAGAGCTAGCCAGGAGAGAGAGGAGAGCTAGCCAGGAGAGAGAGGAGAGCTAGCCAGGAGAGAGAGGAGAGCTAGCCAGGAGAGAGAGGAGAGCTAGCCAGGAGAGAGAGGAGAGCTAGCCAGGAGAGAGAGGAGAGCTAGCCAGCAGAGAGAGGAGAGCTAGCCAGGAGAGAGAGAGAACTAGCCAGGAGAGAGAGAGAACTAGCCAGGAGAGAGAGGAGAGACAGCCAGGGGAGAGAGGAGAGCTAGCCAGCAGAGAGAGGAGAGCTAGCCAGGAGAGAGAGAGAACTAGCCAGGAGAGAGAGGAGAGACAGCCAGGGGAGAGAGGAGAGCTAGCCAGCAGAGAGAGGAGAGCTAGCCAGGAGAGAGAGAGAACTAGCCAGGAGAGAGAGGAGAGACAGCCAGGAGAATGAGGAGAGACAGCCAGCAGAGAGAATGAGGAGAGACAGCCAGGAGAGTGAATGATGAGAGACAGCCAGGAGAGAGAGAGACAGACAGGGGAGAGAGCAAGGAAAGAGAGAGGAGAGACAGCCAGGGGAAAGAAAGCAAGGAGACAGCAAGGGGAAAAAGAGATAGAAAAGACAGCAAGGGGGAGAGAAAGCAAGGAGAGACAGCAAGGGGAGAGAGAGATAGGAGAGACAGCCAGGGGGGAGAGAGAGGAGAGACAGCCAGAGAGGAGAGACAGCCAGGAGAGACAGCAAGGGGAGAGAGCGAGGAGAGGCAGCCATGATAGAGAGTGAGAAGAAACAACCAGGAGAGACAGGCAGGGGAGAGATAACGAACGACACATCTGCCAGAACATACACATACAGGATTTAGACGCCAGACTGTCTGGGTGAATTCCAGGTGGGAACCCTAACCAGGAACCCAGTGATAGATATTTGGGCATGGACCTTTAGGTGCCCTTTGGTCTGGGACCCTTCCCATCATTATCCCAAACTAAAAGAAAAGTTGGTCCTATAAATGCACTTTAAAGCTCATATCTGGGCAAACCAAAACATTACCCCTGCAGTGGGGCTGCCCCCGGATGAAGTGCTCGTTTATGCCAAGGGGACAGGACAAAGCTAATTTACTTACCTGAGTCACTCTCCCACCTGCTCCCCCTGAGCTGTTAGACTGATCCCAGCAGTCTCTTCTCCCCTGGGCTCCTGGGGTCTAAGGACCGGTGACAACATCATATCTAATGCAGGTTCTATATCTATGTGCCTGCACGCAGCTCCCTTCTGGGATGTGCAGAGAGATCTGTACAGCCGCATTGTCCTTTTACAGGCTGACAGTCGTGTTTGCACGCAGACAGCTGTCAAGCCTGGGTGCCTCATAGCCACATAAGTAACATCTCATTCACGCTGTGCCTGTACGGGCCTCTGTGCCCATGTGAATGAGGCCTAAAAGTCCCCGTCCCTTCTACTGCAGGTCCTGTTAACATCAGTGATTGCTGTGACTTAAATGCTGAGCAAGAATGAGGGTATTGGTTAACAAATTGCAGTGCTTCATCTCCAACCTGTGCAATGCTGCATATCATATTAGATGTACTCCACCAGCTGCCTACCTAATGCCCCTCCCCATGAGGATGTGCTAATGACATAAACAGCACATAGCCGCTGCTTCCATTTTGTGCCATTATCCCGTCTTATGGAGGATTAGCCGCATTGTGTATAGAGCAGTTCAGATGAGATAAGAGGACTTTTTCAAGACATGCACTTAGAGGATTATTCATTTTTTCCATCCACTATCCATAAGGGGTACAATAATAGCGCAAGTGTTAGCAGTGTAAAATGTTCTAATGCTTTTCCCATCTTTCTGTTCTAAACACACTCAAAATAATTTTGTTATATGTGTTCCAAAAGTGCAAAAAAATACCCATTCATCCTGCCCAAAATTTACAGCTTCCCTGTGTCCTGTTCACTCTGCGTTATCACAAGTAGTGACGGGCCGAACAGGTCCGAGTTCGGTTCGAATTCAAACTTTAGAACATCCAAAAAGTTCGAACTCGAACTCAATGCAAGATTTATTCAGGGTCGCCCCTGGAAAAGCACCTTGTCCCCGTGCCGAAAAAAAAATTGCCTTTCGTTGAACGTTAGAATGCTGACAGGGCCACACACTACTCGAAATTTCAAGCATTGTATGGCCAACGTAAACGACAAGCTCTCCATACCTAGAAGAACCAGGAATTCCTCCACGATTGTGGTGGGTAAACAGAGTGTTGGAGATGTGAAAGGAAGATGCGCACCTACACCCACATTCTATGGCCAACATTTGATTACCGGTATGCCACGTCTGCCAAATTTACATCATTTCCTTCTTTTCCAGCAATGCGGATCAATGTCAATGTGAATTCAGCTGGCGCCTTTTTGGATCAGTTCTTTGAGAAGCAGCGACTGCTGATAATCTCCGCTCCCAGCTCCTCCGACCGATACTACAGGCTCCAGAGCTCTGCTCTGCAGGTGGGTCAACTATGCATGCTAAAAAATACACTGTATTGTCAAAAGTATTAGGACGTCGGCCTTTACACGCACATGAACTTTAATGGCATCCCTGTCTTAGTCCGTAGGGTTCAGTATTGAGTTGGCTCCGCCCTTTGCAGCTATAACCGCTTCAACTCTTCTGGAAAGGCGTCCACAAGGTTTAGGGGTGTCTATGGGAATGTTGGACCATTTGTGAGGTCAGGTACTGATGTTGGAGGAGAAGGCCGGGCTATTCTTACATTGTATGATATAAGAGAGGAACTGTGAGCAGTACTTTTGCTTTGAGAACTGCTACTACTGATTTACACAAGAACAGACTATTATTGTTTATGACAATTTACACAGTGCACATTGACGTCAGCCCCTGCCCTCAAGGAGATTACAATCTAAGGTCCCTATATATCATATGCACACAGGGCTGAATTAAACTGGAATCAATTAACCTTCCAGCATGTCTTTGGAGTGTGGGAGGAAACCCAAGTACCCAGGGGAAACCCATGCAAGCACAGGGAGAACATGCAGACTCCTTCCAGATGGTGTCCTGACTGTTATTTAAACTGGGGACCCAAACCCATGGTACACAGTGCTAAGAAGTGCTAACCACTAAGCCACTGTGTTGCCCAAATAAGAGAGCCGTGCATGGATTCCTGGGATTTCAGACATGAAGATTTGTGATATTATGCCAATTTCTATGCCTTCCACAGTTCCCAGTAGATTTGCAATCAGTGGTGGTTCAGGGGCCATAATTGGTATTGATAACTCTAATGTGCGCCTAATTTGCTATCTTATAGGGAACATCTTGTGCCTAAGCAATACTGTGAAAATTCTACTTTTTGTCTTGAATTCCTCCTGAAAATATCAGTGCACTTCCTGTGACTAAGCAGTCTTCCTCTGTAGCCTCACAGCTGTATATCTGCAGTGTGAAATCTAAGGCACTGCTGCCATTAACCCGATTGTTTTAGGAGATTTGGAGTGGACTACTGTGCAGCTCACAATTTTCCTTGCTGGAGGCTGGAGAGGTAGCTGTACCTGATGACCTGCAGTGCAAGGATATCCCTGCTTCTGCTTCAATCAATGAAGATATGTGCTTCCTCCACCTCTCCTGCTGCTTCTTGAATATTCCCCCTGTACTCATCAGATCATTATTCCTCAGGGGATGAGCCCTGACTTGAGGAAGCAAAGCCCTGCCTCTACAAAGATCGCTATCTACACAGAGAGGCAGAGGCGTAACTAGTGACCTCAGGGCCCCGGTGCAAGAATCCATGAAGCCCCCCCAAGAAAAAATTTTAGACAAAAAAAAAAAAATTCAAACCAAACCCCCTCCTCTTCCATATCCCCAGCATCCCCCCTTTTCGTCCCCAGCTTTCAGCTCCCTGACCCCACACTCTCCTCTCACATGTCCCCTTCATAATCTCAGCTCCCTATAACTCCCTCTTCATGTCAGCAGCACGCCTCTGACACCCAGGGAGTTGGAGCTTTTCATAGAACACACGCAGTTCTACGGTCGGCAGCCGTTCTGTGTGATGAGGGGACGGGGATAACCCGCTAACCACTCATTGGCTGCTGTGCCGGCTCGATCATTCTTCACGCTGCGCCCGGAACAAGGTGAGAGGAGCAGCGTGAAGCATGCAGGGCCCAGGACAGGAGGAAGAGGTCCCGGTACTGATAATAGTGTTTACCAGGATATTAAATATCCTGGTAATCAGCAGTTACTACAGGCCCCGTCCTCCTGTCCTGGGCCCCCTCTAAGTGGCGGAACTCCAGGGCCCGGTCGCGGCTGCGACCTCTGCGACCCTGGTAGTTCCGCCATTGCATAGAGGCACAGAGCAACGTAAGGCAAAAGATCAGCTGTGGGGAAACGACGTGCAATACTAGTAACTATCCCTTGGTCCTCTGCCTGTCATTTTCAGGCACAGCTGCCTGAGTATAGGTCCTCTTTAATTCCAGCCACAGAAATCACTGGCCAGAAATCGCCAGTATTGTAGGAGCTTGAGCTTCAATGGTCCAGTAAAAACATTGAACCAATGGGGTCATTTCACCCTTGTACTAGTTAGTGATGTTACTATTCTTTGCATCGTGGTCTAAAATCTGATTCAGATCTAGCAGAAGGATTTCCAAATCTGAGCACGTAGCACAGCAAGTCAAACAGCTTTGTCATCAAGTGCGCAACCAGAGAACTGAGACATTACCGACTTGTCAATGCCGTGTATTTCACCCTAGGGAGCGAGCTGTGGCCTGGATCAGAGACATGTCGTAGTGGTGGAGCTCGTGGGAGAGGAGCCAAGGGAGGTGGGACGGGTCCGGTCTCAGCAACTTTCTGTGGATCTCATTGAACAATTAAGGTATTTCCATCTCTCTTCTAAATCTCTTCTTTATGTTTTATTTACATGCATGCATTTATTCCCCACTCACATGTACAAACGTATTTACCTACTTTGCACTTGGCATGTGGTGCTTTGTACTACATTAAATCTTGGAACGATTCATATAGTGGTAGCTGCCTGAAGTGGGTGCGTACTGCGTGGCAGAGATGGAACAGGCAACACATATTATATAATAAGAGAACCTGCAGTTACAACAACATGGTATTCTTCTCCTGATTCCCTTCAGAATAAAAAGACACGTTGATGACAAGCAAAAGTGCTGCTGATAGTGCTTCTCGGTTGGACAGCTGTATTAGAACCGTGCTGCCAGCGGCTCTCTGTCTGGTCCTGCCCACCTTACAGATGTCACAGGTTGCCAGGAGCTCATCAGGAGGCCAGGACGTCCCACTCAGTTCCCTGACAACCGATGACATCACTAAGTTGTGCGGGAAGCTGGACAGAGCGTTGCAGGTTGCTAAGAGCTGTTAGCAACCGGGGATGTTGTGATTGCCCCTCTGCTTCCCCCCCCCCACAACTGCCGCCCCCCCAATGAGATGCTGCCTTAGGCCAATTAGACATGCACTCTCCCAAAATGACGCACAGAGTCTCTGGCAAAGGACATACTAGTCCAGTGCTGGGTTCCCCTAGCACCAGTAGTAAACAGTGATCACTTTGTCTTCTACTGCCAGCTTATCAGGAAGGCTAAGTGATCAAAGGAATGAAAGCACCACATCCTTGGGCACAGCGATGACACTACCCACACACCGGTGCTGTAAAAAGTCATCACTGAAAGTGAAAAGGCCAAATCGCACCCTCATCCATGAGCTGTGAGCTAGGTTAGGTTGCAGGGTCTTATTCTTTTTCTGACTCCCTTCCTGCTGAAGCACTTGAGGCCTCGTCTGCCTACCCCTTGTCCCAGTCCCCCTGGCCGATTCTCAGATCACTGCAAGGGATCAGACTTGGCACCCAATGGGTGAATTGGTAAACATGAAGATGAAGATGGTACTACTGACATCAGAGTTGTGAACAATCTTCCTTTTAACAGGAACATATAGTACTTCCACCATTCATTTATTAGATATACTGTATGTATAAAAATGTTGATTGCAGCGTCGTGTTAGACCTCTATGTGCTCCATGTACAACCAGACAGTGTTTGCTATGCTTTTCCTCAAATCACTTTATTTCTGAACGCAGGCAGGCGCTGCACATCACAAAGTCCTATTTTAATGTGGTTCTGCTGGACAAGTTTGGCGTGGACCGGGAACGCTTTCGGCAGCCCACAACATCGGACGAGCTCTTCCTTTTCATTGACACCTATTTACTAAGTCAGCAGGAGATCGCACAGGTGGAGGCCAACAGAGAACACTGTGAATAATGGACTGGATGTAGCCGAGGGAACGGCCATCTGTTCCTCAAAAGGGATAGAATTTGTTTTTGTTTTTTTATAATTGCTGTTAGAGAAAGAGTATTTATTAAAAACCTGTCTGTTTGAACAATATGTGTGATGGTGCAGAGATGTCATTAGTTCTAGAGGGTTGTATCTGCTGATTATGTACAGGTACACAGGTAAAATCCAAGTTTGTTTAGAAAAAAAAGTTGGTAATTATGGGCTACTGCAGTTTGCAATTTTAGGCCTCATTCACACAGCTTAGAGTCGGGCCGTACAGATCCGTGAGGCGTGCACGGCCATATCGGGCCGTCCCCGGGAAGGACAGGTGCTGCGTGTGATCGTACGCAGCAGCCTGTTCTCTATGGGAAGATGCGGCCGTACGCTGACCCGAGCTGCGCATCCATGCGGGAGCGACTCTAAGCAGCTGTGTTAGTACTAATGATAGACTGCATCCAACTGTATGTCATCTTTAATTGTGTCCATAGTTCTACTCTACGTGAGGCAATACCGAACATGTTAAAGGAGTTGTTGAGTCCCAGCATATCCTCTCCTGTTATAACATCAGCATTGTAATAGGAATACATACCGGAGTTGTTATTGATAATGCAATCAGAGCTGACATGAAAAAATACCTTTTCTGTAGTGAGCGCTGCCTTGCATCTGCCCATCACTTCCATCAACTTCCTGGATTCCCAGTGTGCTTTATGTCTCTTCCTGCTGTGTGAAGTGATGTCATCTTGAGTTCAAGGCTACATATCCCATCATGCACTGCTTCCAGCAAGCAGTGATAATGTTACATTGTTCAGACGTTGAGTTGTAGTTCAGAAGGATGGATCGGTGAGGAGCTGTGACTCCAGGAAGTGCATATTTACAGGACTTAGTTAAAGTGTATCAGTGCATTGAGGAAGTTTATAAACTTCTAGATGGATGGTTATTAGAAGTAAGAGAGAACTTATGGAAATTCAATTTAAAAAAAATTATTTTTCATACCCTTGAAAATGCGAAAATATCTCAGGCATGAAAATTACACTGGGGGTTTGTTTGTGGTCTTTCTTTACAGCAGGCGCTCGGGAAAACCCTGTCTGGCTCGTCTTCTCCTAACGTCATTTGGTAAACCTGAACTAGCTATTTCCGTGACTAATGCTTGGCATTTCTACACATGTTCCCGCTATGATATATCTTCATCTTTTTTCCGGAGTCTAAGCTAGGAAATATGTTTTCTTCAGACTGCAGATGGAAAAAGAATGAGCAATGTGCATGTAATTTTGGACCAGGTTGTTGGCACTTCCTCCCACCGGCCATAATAGGGACTTAGGGAGACCTCAGCAGGGAATGGCTCATATTCACAGATCTTACTGGTATGAGTCCAGTCAATAGAGTCCAGGCTTCAATGTGAGCTAAGCATTGACAGGGAGGTGCTGAGTGATACTGATAAGAGAACAATTAGAGAACATCCTTCCCTATGGGAGGATGCAGCCGTACGCACACCCGAACTACACATCTATGTGGGTCCAGATGTCCATACTTGGACACGGACAGGATGGGTCCTGTCTGTGTCCGAGCACGGACACCCGTACCCGCATGTATGTGCAGTTCGGGTGTGCGCATGACAGTGTACGGCCGCATTCTCCCATAGGGAAGAACAGGTTGCTGCGTGACCAACAGAGGGGGGCTCATGAAAAGGTCAGACAAAAACTAACTTTTACAGGTAAAGTCAGGAACTGCAAAAAACTTGTATGTGTTTCTGGGCAGAATTGTGATAGAGCATGGAAGGCTTGGGCAACGTTCACACCAAATCGGCATCGCTTTTGCACATGTGTTCAGCGTGGAGTTTTTTTGCGTTTCATTTGAAGTCTACGAGGGCAAAACAAGCGGCAAACTGCCAAAAGAAGTTCATGTACTTTTTTTCTGCATTGTTTTATATTGTTTGTGGCTATTGGGGAATGTTGTCCTCTTGGAATGCCACCTGTCCTATGGCTTCCCATGTTAGCATAGAGGACTGGCACACGTCGGACACCCAGGTCCGTACAAACAAGAAGCCGCACACCTTACCTCAGAGACCCTTGCCCTCTTAGAACTGCAAGGCAGTGCTTTATTTCCTACACACAGCTGACTACATATTCTTTAGCAAAGAAAAAAACACCATAGGCAGCCTCTTTTTGGTCAAAACAAGTCACCCAGTTAAAGAATTTCTGTAGACATGACCCAAATTTACCACCAAACCTTCCTCTCCCTCTCTAGATCCTGTCCCAGATCTTTTCTTTTTCCCTGTTGCCTTAAGGAAAAGCAGCCAATATTACTCAATGTGACATCATCACAAAGCTTATAAAATTCTCGAGTCAGCTGGTGTGGGCTCAGTTCCTATTTATGAAGGCAAACCCCCAGAATGACATCCCTCAAGAGTCCTTTCTTTGCACAGTACATGGGTCAGGTATTCTTTTACACCATGTGGATGTCCGGCTGCGTGTTGGTCACTTATCTGGGGAAGAGATGGTGCCAGGATGCACTATGGGAAGAAGACAAGCCGGCGGAGGCAGTGTGAAGCTTTGGGCAATGTTCTGCTGGGAAACCTCGGGTCCTGCCATTCATGTGGATGTTACTTTGTCATGTACCACATACCTAAGCATTGTTGCTGACCAAGTACACCCCTTCATGGAAACGGCATTCCCTGATAGAGGTGGCCTCTTTCAGCAGAAAAATGCTTCATGCCACACTGAAAAAATGGTTGAAGAATAGTTTGAGGAACACAACAATGAGTCTGAGGTGATGACTTGGCCCCCAAATTCTCCAGATCTCAATCAAATCCATCATCTGTGGAATGTGCTGGAAAAACAAGTCCGATCCATGGAGGTCCCACCTCACAACTTACAGGACATAAAGGATCTGCTACTGACGGCTTGGTGCCAGCAGAGCCGGATTTACTCTATCTGCTGCCCCAAGGCCAGGTTCCTCAATGCGCCCCCCCCCCTACCCGCCAGACCCCCCCTCCCCATGGAGGATGGCAGATCTGCAGGCTGCATACACTGTTGCCGAGATCAGTTGTACAAAACAAGCGGCGGTTTCCCCGCTGTACATTGAGCTCTGCTTGCGCAAAGCAGGACTAAATGTGTAAAACAACTACCTGCCCGGCACCCGGAACTGCATGTCCTGGGCATCGGGAGATAGGAATTCCACACCCCTGCTGCCCCTCTACTCCCTTGCTGCTCCCCCGAGGCCAGGCCTTGGTTGGCCTTGTGGGAAATCCAGCCCTGGGTGCCAGATGCCACAGCACACCTTCAAATGTCTAGTGGAGTCCATGGACGGGCCAGGGCTGTTTACTAGCAAAGGGAGGGCCTACTCAACATTAGACGGGTTGTCATAATGTTATGACTGTTCAGTTTATATTTCTTTGATATTGCTACAAGGTTCCATCTCACTTTGGTGCCTTACCATGCATTTCCATACACTACAAAATACAGATAATAAGCGTCGGTGTAGCTGTGCACAGTTTAGCATTGTGCTGAGGTGTAGCATTAAAAAAAAAAAAAAGACAAGTCCCATCTTTGATACTCCTAATGAAAGAGTTTTTCGGGCTGCATCTTTCCAGTGCAAACGTGTGAACGGGGCATAGGGTATGTGACTGGAACTGGGTGTATATTTGCATGTACATTAATCGTTATAAACAGCCTAATCCAAAATCAAAACGATATCATGAACAAACCACCAACAAATAAAAAAATAAAATCAATAAAACCGATACGGCAACAGTTTCAATCCCGTATTTAGCCGTCATATATTTAGCGCTGGTTTGTGAAACTGAACAAAGACAAGGAGACAAGATGGAACATCCAGATACATGTAATAGGCATTTCTCTCCGGATGATACAATGAACTTAGAATGAACCATCTCTGAGTTTATTCTTCTAAGAGCGAAGTGTCTAGAGAGCCGATCCTGGTGAGTATTCCGCCCACCATCATGTCCAAGGAAACTGGAGCTAATACAATTTAAAACCTCATATAACAAGGAAAATAAATAATCAAAAAATGTACAATATTTATTGGCGGGCTAAAAATACTATACTGTATACTTTTTTGTTTCCTTCATTATTATTATACAGTTTATTGGCCGTGAGCGGGCATGTGATTCCCCCCAGTGCAGTTCTGGTTATTTGGAGGAGGATCACTTTGTCCTGGCCATGCTGGGACGGAGCTGCAAGGTTCCTTCAGCCCAGGAGCCGGGATACTGCCCCATCTTCGTCCAGAGGCTCATCTCTTCTCCGGTAGAGTCCATCCAGTCAACCTGCTGTCCATTGAATACACCTGGAGAAAAGGAAACATTTTATAAAAATTGGTAAACCTCAGTCAGAAAATACTTTTCTTCTTTCCTGTAGTGAGAATTAAACTCCGGCCTCCCCTTCAGTCTTGTGCAGTTGTAGCGGCTCTTCTCCTGGACTGAAAAGGCTTCCTCTGATGTCACTGCACACTGCGAGCTTCTCACAATGTACATTAGAAGCTGCAGCAAGTCAGATAGAGCCCGCCTCATTTCCTGGCTGGAAGACATCCAGCATCATCTATTCTAGGTGTTTCCTCCCTAGCCCGACTGTCCCTGGCCCGCTCCTTTCATTCATTGGATTTCAGTTCTATCAATCATGAAGGCTCAGCATCACATGTGTGCCTTACCTAGCGTGGTCTGCATGCAAAATCAACCTGCCTAGGAAAGACCACTCCTTCAGAAGGACATCCACCCTCTCATTTTATTTGCATAACTCCTCCCAAGAGCCAACTCATTGCTTGCATCAGGGCTGAGGGCTTTGAGGAAAGTACTGAGGCCGGGTGCTGTGATGTTTTCAGGAAGCTGTGTACAGCACCCTGCCGGCCCCTCCTACCAGCCATGATCTGCCTGCATTGGGTAGAGGAGCACAGAGACACAGATGCTGTCAATTAGACATGTGCAGCTGCTAAAAATTTGTTTAATTTCGTTTTTGGAATTCGGATCCTATATGTGTTTCGTTTCGGGAATCGGATTCGTATTCGGATCTGATTCGGGATTCGGGCGAATTCCCGAAAATTCAACTTGAGGTGGGGTAGCAGAATTGGCACATTTGTTTTTCTGGTTGCTGTGCTCTCGTCTTTACTATTAAAAGGGACATTAAAATCCTTTTCTTAATTTGTTTTTATCCGTTTAAATGTTAACAGTGCACACACAGGATTTGGACGAAATTCGTTCCAAATCCGAAATTTCGGATCCGGATGCTTTCAGATATGTTATATTTCGGAAATGCGGATGCTCCGTATCTACGAATTTCGGAAATTTCGTCCGAATTTCGATTCGGAACGAAACGAATCGCACATTTCTACTGTCAATACGATATGTACTGAAAATGTACGGGTTTATTAGCGTGTCAGTGGGGCTGTAGAGGGGGACTAGAAAGGCAAAATATAAGCAGGTAAAAGAGGACCAGTGATCAGGAAGGAGCGTGGTTGCTGGCCCGTCCCCGAGTGGCAGTGGTAATAGATTGTATATACATTATCTCAGCCTAGTCAAAGTCACCGACTTTACAGCTTACCGTTATCAGAAATTAAGATGTTGCAATAAAGGTCCTTTATAAATGGAACATATTTATATTTCATATCAACCATCTGCTTTCAGCAGATGGCACACAGAAGGCCATCTAAATCTTGCAGAGTCGTTGTATTACGGTACTATGGTGTGATTAGAATGTCATTTGTTTTGCTATTCAGAACACAACTGAATAAAATCAGCTGAGGAACACACTTCCTGTCTGTGTCCAGCTCATTCATCCCAAAAAAAACCCATCCGTGTCCAGCTCATTCATCCCAGAAACTCCCCATCTGTGTCCAGCTCATTCATCCTAGAATCTCCCCATCCGTGTCCAGCTCATTCATCCTAGAATCTCCCCATCCGTGTCCAGCTCATTCATCCTAGAATCTCCCCATCCGTGTCCAGCTCATTCATCCTAGAATCTCCCCATCCGTGTCCAGCTCATTCATCCTAGAATCTCCCCATCCGTGTCCAGCTCATTCATCCTAGAATCTCCCCATCCGTGTCCAGCTCATTCATCCTAGAATCTCCCCATCCGTGTCCAGCTCATTCATCCTAGAATCTCCCCATCCGTGTCCAGCTCATTCATCCTAGAATCTCCCCATCCGTGTCCAGCTCATTCATCCTAGAATCTCCCCATCCGTGTCCAGCTCATTCATCCTAGAATCTCCCCATCCGTGTCCAGCTCATTCATCCTAGAATCTCCCCATCCGTGTCCAGCTCATTCATCCTAGAATCTCCCCATCCGTGTCCAGCTCATTCATCCTAGAATCTCCCCATCCGTGTCCAGCTCATTCATCCTAGAATCTCCCCATCCGTGTCCAGCTCATTCATCCTAGAATCTCCCCATCCGTGTCCAGCTCATTCATCCTAGAATCTCCCCATCCGTGTCCAGCTCATTCATCCTAGAATCTCCCCATCCGTGTCCAGCTCATTCATCCTAGAATCTCCCCATCCGTGTCCAGCTCATTCATCCTAGAATCTCCCCATCCGTGTCCAGCTCATTCATCCTAGAATCTCCCCATCCGTGTCCAGCTCATTCATCCTAGAATCTCCCCATCCGTGTCCAGCTCATTCATCCTAGAATCTCCCCATCCGTGTCCAGCTCATTCATCCTAGAATCTCCCCATCCGTGTCCAGCTCATTCATCCTAGAATCTCCCCATCCGTGTCCAGCTCATTCATCCTAGAATCTCCCCATCCGTGTCCAGCTCATTCATCCTAGAATCTCCCCATCCGTGTCCAGCTCATTCATCCCAGAAACTCCCCAGCTATCAGGTCCCAGGAGAAGCTGTTAGACTAAAGACCCTACTCACCAGTTCCAGCACCCAGTCGTACTCCTCCCAGGAAATCATTGCTGGATAGCGGTTCTCGATCCCAGACTGTCAGTTCCAGGCACGTATTCTGGAGATCATCAGGCTTGACGCCATTATAGACAAAAGTGTGATTGTAGTGAGGATTCAGCGTCTTCTTGACTACCGGTGTCTTCCTCTTGGTGTTCCGACTTTTGATTGGTAGTAAATATCTGTAGGGAAACAGTTCAAGGAATCTTTTAATTCAACTCAACATCAAAAGTCAATAGAAAAGAGGATCTTGTGTATAAAAGTGTCAGAAAGAAGGACTGGCTGGGGTCCTTATGGTAGCTAGACTTCTTTCATAACTCCAAAGTAGGAATATAGATTAGAATCTACACTGCCCGGCCAAAAGTCATCACACAACCTAATATTTCATTGGACCACCTTTAGCTTTGATTATAGCACACATTCACCGTGTCATCATTTCGATAAGCTTCTGCAATGTCATATTTATTTCCATCCAGAGTTGCATTCATTTGTCACCAAGATCTTGTAGTGATGATGGGAGAGTCGGAGCACTGCGTAAAGTCTTCTCCAGCACATCCCAAAGATTCTCAATGGGGTTAAGGTCTGGACTCTGTGGTGGCCAATCCATGTGTGACAATGATGTCTCATGCTCCCTGAACCACTCTCTCACAATCTGAGCCCGATGAATCCTGGCATTGTCATCTTGGAATATGCCCAATGTGCCATCAGGGAAGAAAAAAAATAAATTGATGGAAAAACCTGATCATTTAGGATAGTCAGGTAGCAGCTGACCTCATTTTTTGGGGACATAATGTTGCTGAACCTAGACCTGACCAACTGAACCAACCACAGATCACAACACTGCCCTTAATCCAGGTCAGTGGGGTAACAATCACCATAGCGACTCAGGCGGCCACTATGGGGCACAGGGGGGCCCGCACCTGGACATTCCTGAAACCCTGCGGGCCGCCTGGGTCGCTATGGCATTTCACGCTGCTGGCTGCCACTGGCGGCTGTGAAGAGAAATGTGCCGCTGTTCAGATCACTGACAGTGATCTGTGCAGCGGCGCGTTCCTCTCCACAGCTGCTGCTGAGTCAGTAAGAGCCAGCAGCGGCAGTGGAGCAGGCTGGACCCAGCAGTGGAGGAGGAGGTGGGGCCTTGGTTGGCCTTGTGGGAAATCTGGCCCTGGGCACAGCTAGTTGAGGGTATTAATAGCATCCTGCAGTTGATATGAAGAGGATGCGCGCGCTAACTTTTTCAGAGAGGAGTGGCTAAGCTGCTAAAATGTTGCAGCTTGTTTGCTTTGTTATGGCCTCCACACTTCAAAGGTTCTACTCAAGCCTAAAGACAATAAATAGCAACACACACCCACCACCCAGCCAGCCAGCCGTGATCGTATAGTGGTTAGTACTCTGTGTTGTGGCCGCAGCAACCCCGGGTCACGGCAGTGTCTTGGGTTATTTTATCAGCACGCCCTCTATTTAATTGATTCATTTTGTTACTCATACCCAGTGGCATAACAATCACCATAGCAACCCAGGCGGTCGCTATGGGGCCCGTGGCACAGTGGGGCCCGGCCAGGACATTCCTGATGCCCTGCGGGCCAACTGGGTCGCTATGGCATTTCACGCTGCTGGCTGTCACTGGCGGCTGTGAAGAGAAATGTGCCGCTGTTCAGATCACTGACAGTGATCTGTGCAGCGGCGCGTTCCTCTCCACAGCCGCTGCTGAGTCAGTGAAAGCCAGCAGCGGCGGTGGAGCAGGCTGGACCCAGCAGTGGAGGAGCAGGCGGGGCCCGGGGTTGGCATCAGAGGAGGAGACGGGGCGAGCCTGGTGATGGGCGAAGGAGGCGGGGCTCATCACCGACGGTGGAGGAAGAGGAGGCGGACAGGTAAGGAGTGTGACCAGCCCACCTGAGGGTGACCCTGCAGAGCCCACCTTAGAGAGTCTATGGTGGGCTCTGCAGGGTCACCCTCAGGTCGGCTGTGTGGGCTCTTCAAGGGGCGTAACTAGAGATCAAAGGGGCCCCATACAAAATTTTGCTATGGGGCCCTGTGATTTCTAGTTACACCGCTGATCCAGGTGGTGACTTTTTTTGGCCAGGCAGTGTATATTGCTGGAGGCAGCAGAGATTTACCTATTTTGGACACTTACAGGATGTTCAGTGTAGCACCAAGCAATAGAAAATCTTCAGAGAGGTCTTAAACCTAGAACCCCGGACAAAAAGCTGTGATGGAAGCGGGTTTATACTCAACTGTCTGGTGGCCAGTTTGATGAAACTTTAGTCTCCTGCAGAGCTCTATGCACCTGTAATCTCCCACACTTCTAGGTGTGAGGAATAGCATGTCCCCTGCTGGGTGCTATAGATTCACCTGCCAATCCTTATGACACTACTGCGTCCTGCAAAGATTAGGAGTTGGCAGGAAGTAGCACTGGTAATCGTGTTATTCGAAGCAGCAGAGGTCTCAGATCATCTCGGTGGCTCAAAGCTCTCCAAGTGCGGGAAGTTTCAGCATGCTGGCCATCAGACAGCCAAGTTTCAACCTGCCCCTTCCACAGGATATTGATGTTGTCATTGTTTCTCACCCCTTCACGAAGCTGTCAGATGTTCCTCCTGTTTTAACCGCCGTCAGGTTTTTGGCTTCTTTAATCCAGACATGAAGTTGTCCCCCTTCCTCGGCTTTACCTAGATGAAAAAAGATTACATATAATATGCAGCTTTATCATTTACAGATCATAAATTTCTCACTACAAACAGGAGCAATACATAGTCCTGCACTATGATGATGCCACGTTTATGACGCATAGGTTGGCTGCAGGTCTGAAGGTCACTTCTTGCTGACTTCTTATACCCAGTGGTGCAGGAAAAGCCATTGTAGCCCTTGTGGCTGCTATGGTGCAAGGTGTAGGAAGTGGAATATAGAGGGAGACTTATTGCACTCCTTACCGGATACCCCAACAAGAGGGGAGGGTGCTTGTAGTGACTGCGGATGGCACCGCTAGTTACATGGATCATTTGAAGAGATGTCACCAGGACACTAAAAATCCTTTCAGGACAACCATGCCAAGTAAAAACAGGCGCTTTCGGGGCCACACAGGGTCCCTTCATCAGGCTTAACATTGACAAGGTGTAGGAAGAGGGCCCCATTAAGGTAAACTAGGAAGTTTCCATTTTAGATGGTGTGACGACATGGTGATCAGTTTAGGAGTTAAATGTGTATTGGTGTTGAGTTATGTTTGAGTGCGTTATACTGAGTAACCTGGTTATGGAAAGACTATCAGCCCCATCCCTCGTTATCTCCCATTGTTCTCTGAGGGAGCTCAGAACAATGACATTCTGGCCAGGCTTCTGCTATGGCTGTCTGGAGCTGGAAGCCCTGTGGTGTTGAGCAGACCGATTGTCTGGGAGGGGAGGGGGGATGTGATGGGATTATATTCTGATCTCATCACTTGCTGTATAAAAGTTTGTGCAGTTTCTCAATAAACCAGAGTTTGTTTCACCTACACTTGAGCCTCGACTAGTGACTGGGGAAACTGGGAGCTAAGGATCTTCAGGTTGCAAGATCTCCTCAGCAAGGAAGAAGACAGCGGCGGACATACTCATCCTGAGTACGGGGGTCCGTCACAGATGGGCTGAAGTCAGAGGGGGGAATTAGATTTGCTTGGAGTTCAACCTTAGATACCAATTATTTCCGACACTTAAGTAAATCCAGAACAGAAAACAAAATGTATTTCTCGGAAATAAAACGTCTACCCACTTTTTCTTCTCTCACTTCCAGACGTGGACTTGGAAGGTGGGACGTACTTTAAGGAAACAACCAGCTCCCCTTTGTAGTTGGGCACACCAGCGTCGCCATTGCCCTGCATAAGAAAATACAATTTACAGGAGAGATGATGAGTAGAGGCTGCATAGCAGTGTCACCAACACAACCTCACATGTAAAACATTTCATGATGAAGAGAATAATTTGCAAACATTTTAAGCTAATATGAAATAAAAATGCATGAAAAGCTAGTTTTGGATCCCAGATAGCAAGGATAACTTGCCACAAACTTGTGGCAGGGTGAAATTGTAATTTTGTTAACTTGCTGCACATATTCCTGGCAAGTTGTAGACTTGCAGAACACTCGCAGCACAAGTTCTAGGCGACACTTTTTGAATTTGTAGCAAATTTGCTTGGCAAGTCTACAGCAAGAGCCCTGCAGGTCTTAGCAAGAGCTCTGCAAGCTCGCGGGTCTGGAGACTTGCAATGCAGACTTGCTGTAATTGTGCAACAAAATTGTGAAGCTTGGCAAGTCTGCAATAGTTTAGCAAGTCATTTTCAAACTTGTAGCTCAATTACTTGCTATATGGGATAGAGAAGGCAGTTAAAGCTGAACTCCGGCCTTCCCTTTAGTCCTGCAGAGTTGTACCGTCTCCTCCTCTGGACCGAGAATGCTTTCTCTGCTTTCACTGAGATAGAGCCTGTCTCATTTCCTGGTTGGAGGACTTCCAGAATTATGTAGCCCTTACCTCCCCAACCTTACTGGTCCTGGTTCGCCCCACTAGTTTATTGGGTTTCAGTTTTTTGGGCTGTAGTTCAAGTCTAGTAGTAGGGTTTTCCTCATCTCTGGTCAGCACTACATAAATACTTGGAAATAAACTCATCAGTAGTCATTGCTTAATGTGGCGGAGCACTATTTGGTCTTGTGCACAAGGGTGGGGATGGACAAGTCCCAAATTTTCCTCGCAGTTTGGTTCGCAGTTGAGATGTGTTTTCCTGTGAAAATGATACCGCCAGAGAAACCGTTACTGGTACACGAGGGGAAAGTGAGAAGAGAGTCACCTTGCCGTGCAGAGGAAGACACTCTTCCACCATACTGTCAAAGTTCCAGGAGTCGAGCGGCAGGTTCACCTCCCCGAGGAACGTGTTCCTTCCAAAGCGGTCATGGTGCCAGACTGATAGCTGCAGGGTTCTGGAAAGTAGGACCGACTCCGGTACAATGTACTAAAGAGAAATAACCAACACAAAACCAACAATGACCGCAGTTCGCCTTTAACCACTTCAAGACCAGGTGTTACACCCCCTTCCTGGCCAGGCCATTTTTCAGTGTTCAGCGCTGCGGTACTTTGACTGACGTTTATTCCGTCATGCAGCGCTGTACTGAAATGAATTTTATACAATTTTTTGGGGACAGATAGAGCTTTATTTTGGGGGTATTTAATCACCACTGGGGTTTTTATTTTTCACTATAATTAGCGAAAATTACAGAAAATTTTGGGGAAAAAAAGTTTTTTTTAACATTATCTGGAACGTATTGAGTGTAGTATCACTTTAAATAAAAAACATCCCCCAGATTTTTGGTGACGTCATTCTACGTACCTGTAACATTTCCCCATACAGCGGGTTGACAGTGTTCCGTTTAATCGTGGTTTTGCGCTTTCCTTGGCGGGACTTGTCAGGCAGGAGATAGGACTTGACGTATCTGAAAGGAAAGGATTGCAGATGGATAACTCAGCGTTTCCTAAACAAAACGAAAAGGTTCTTTCCGTCCAGCAAAATATATTCTCTCTACATGAACGTAATAAAGTAAACCTGTTGTGGAGTCACCCAAACCTGCGGCAGAGCAACAGCCACATAATAGCTTTAGTTCACCTGCCCACCAACCAATCTGCTGCTTCCATTCTTGTGAAAAAATGTAAAAGGTTTGGAAGTTTGATCACTGGGGGGAGGTGAGACTGAGGAAATGCTTCCTCCTGTCTGCGGCAGACTGATCACTGGGGGAGAAGAGACTGGAATGCTTCCTCCTGCCTGCATCAGACTGATCATTGGGGGAGGGGAGACTAGGAAATGATTCCTCCTGCCTGCAGCAGACTGATCACTGGGGGAGGGGAGACTAGGAAATGCTTCCTCCTGCCTGCAGCAGAGTGATCACTGGGGAGGGGAGACTAGGAAATGCTTCCTCCTGCCTGCAGCAGAGTGATCACCGGGGCAAGGTGAGACTGAGGAAATGCTTCCTCCTGCCTGCATTAGTCTGATCACTGGGGGAGGGGAGACTAGGAAATGCTTCCTCCTGCCTGCAGCAGACTGATCACTGGGGGAGGAAACTGGGGAAGGAAACTGGGGAAATGCTTTCTCCTGCCTGCAGCAGACTGATCAATGGGGGTAGGAGACTGAAAGGTCCACTTTAAAACATTGCAACATTCCTCTGTACATTCCCTTCTTATGCGATTTTGTTTTACGGTCACATTGCCAATGACAAGGCGAGCAGAGTACGAGCCCCTTGAGGAAGGTGTAATGGGGATGGGTCAAGAGTGGAAAGATGGACACTGATGAGTGAAACGCTCAACTCTGCCAATATGCGGTCATCGCTCCCATGAGTGAGGGTGTTTATATTCTGTACATGATCCCTTCTTAGACATGTCTGTGAAGGTTCTCATTCCTCCAGGTCACATGGTATATCTGTAAAAAATAAGTCAAGGCAACTGGACTGGCTGTATTTTTCTTGAAGACGTTTCACTGGACATCCGACCAGCTTTCTTAAAGGAGAACTATGAGGGGGGGGGGGTGCTTTTCACTCACCTCATAGTTCTAGCCGACCTGCGACAATGAGACTGATCCCCCCCGCTCCGACCCGCCAGCGCTGACTGGCGGAACGGACGGGGGAGGGGGCGGGTACAGCTGGCTCTGCCTCTAGATAGGCAGAGCCAGCTGTCACTCACGCACATCATCTGTTCGTCACAACCAGGTGTTGATTGGAGCTAGGAGGTGTTATTAAGCTGCCCAGAGAGAGGTGGTAAAACAGCATTGTATGTGGCAGACAATAGATGCCCCCCCCCCTCTATTCAAGCTCGGCTTCTCCATTTTTACATAAATGGCCTCTTTCACACCTCTTTTAAACCAGTCCTCCTCCCCGTCTAGGATGCGTACTAGACTGTCTTCAAGGAAGTGACCTTTTTCCTTTAGATGTAGGTATGCTGGTGAATCCTGACCAGAGGGTTTGGCTCTTCTATGCTGTGCCATACGCTTGTGTAGCTGTTGTTTTGTTTCACCGGCATACAATTCTGAGCACTCCTCGCTGCACTGGACTGCATACACAATGTTGTTCATCTTGTGTTTTGGCGTGGGGTCTTTTAGGTGAACCAGTTGTTGCCTCAGTGTATTGCTGGGTATCAAGCAGACAGGGATGCGATGTTTTTTTAAAAACCCTTCTGAGTTTCTCAGACACCCCAGCTACATAAGGGATGACCCAATTCTTCTGTTTGTCATGCCAGATAATTTTTTGTACAAGTCATTCTGAATTAAAGGAGAACTATGGAGTTAGGGCTTTTCACAAACTAGCGTCCTCCCGTTACCCTAGGCTCAGTATACCGCGAGCTACAGCTCCCTATATACTGAGACGCCGCAGGCGGGACGGATCCCGACAATTATGTCTGGATCTGCACAGACAGGCAGAGCCAGCTGCAAGTCATTCTGAATTGAAAAAGCTGGTTGCCAATATTCCAAATGGTTCCTTACGGCTAAACTCAACAACACACTAGGCGACCTCGATGTCTTGTGACGTTGCCCGCATTCACATTCACATTTTCGAAATTACTCCCACTTACTCAGTCATATATCCCCCACTTGAACGATCTCACCAAATCTCTATCCCAACACTGTTTTTTTTTTCCCCACCCAGCAACTACTCTCTCTCCGTCCTCCTGATTGCATGAAATTAAAGGTTACTCCGCCTTCCAACACCAAATGTCGACCTTGTTGCCCTCATTGATGTTACGCTTATGACATTGGTGTGTTGCTTAAAAGTTACTTTACAGTCGTCATATATAGGCCTCTATAGCACACATGGCTATGTGTGCTTTCTATAGCTAGAGATTGTTATGACTGGTCTTACAACTCTATTAGTATTGGGTTGTTTTTTTTTACAACTGTTTTGTACATTGTACTTTGACACTGTATACACATTGTACTGTACTTTTTTCTGAAATAAATAAAAAAATTAACTTAAAAAAAAAAAAGCTGGTCGGATGTCCAGTGAAACGTCTTCAAGAAAAATACAGCGAGTTGAGTTGCCTTGACTTATTTTTAACAGATCCCTTCATAGACATGGTCTGGATTCTCTATCCCGTCTCAGCCTCCGTTCAGGAGCAGACTGACACAATATAACAATGGAGGGAGAACACCTCAATGCCAATGTTGTCTGGAAAACTGAAAAAAGTAGAAGGAAATGCGTTACGGGTTGGAGCGTCTCTTTACGTCATCTCCGTAGGCCAGGTTGCGGCATTCCTTCACCACAATGCTGAGGATCTGCGTCTTCCCGTCGTATTTCAGGGAGAACATGATCTCTCCCGTCACTATCACGTTCCCGTAGTCTCCGGCCTCGCTGTAAATACTCATCATGCTCCCCAGCGTGCTCTGTAGGAGGGAGACAGACAAACCATCAACAACCCCAAACAAAGATTCATATAGGAAGTGATGAGATACAAAATACAGGTGAAACTCGAATAATTAGAATATCGTGCAAAAGTAATGGCAGTAAGTGCTGCAAAAGGGGCCCAAACCAAGTACTGAGTACATATGCATGCCTGTACTTTTCAGAGGTCCGATATTCTTCTATGTACAATCCTTGTTTTATTGATTGCATGTAATAATCTACTTTTTTGAGGTTGTGGATTTGGGGTTCTTGGGGTTTTCATGAGCTGTAAGCCATAATCATCACAATGATGACAAATCACGGCTTGAACTATCTTGCTTTGCATGTAACGAGTCTCTCTCATATATTAGTTTCACCTTTTAAGTTGCATTAGTGAAATAAATGAACTTTGCACGATATTCGAATTATTCCAGTTTCACCTGTATAAATATTTACGCTGAGTGGCCAGATAATTATGACCCCCCCATCAGTACTTCTTTGGGCCGCCTCGTGACTCCACGAGATGATGAAAGGTGATGCGGGGAATCTGACACGGCACTGTTGCCCTTCTGTTGTCTTGTACCAGTCTTGCCCCTCCCCCGTTCTGCCCTAACATTGACTAGTCGCTGACGGCCACAATTCGCACGTTCAGACCCAGATTTTCGGCTGACAGTCCGGTCTTTAAACACTTTAACAACAGCTGCTCTTGAACATTTAACAAATTCTGCTGTTTTGCTGATACTCGCTCCATGGCTCCGAGCGCCAACAATCATCCCACGTTCAAAGGCTGTTACATCGCGTTGTTTCCCCGTATCTTCAGAAACAAATCACTTCTACTGTCGTGGTAAACAACCCGCTTCCCTATTTATAATGGTCTGGCCCTCGAGCAACTTCAGCGCCAAATTATAGCTAATTTGCCTACAAACGTCAGGTGCTCATAATAATCTGGACACTCAGTGTATGTATATATATATATTTAATTTATTTATTTATTTATTGTGTCCCCAATGGGAACAGAGACCGCAAAATACAAAGGATACAACTTCTCTCAGGTATCTTCCTGTCTGGGTGACCCCATTCCCTCATTTCTTGTTCTAGTGTTATTGGGATAACAATCTAAAACGGTCAGTATCAGGGCAGACACACACAGTCAGAGCATGCACACACACACTTTGTTACCATAGACATGCAAACAGTCAGGTCAAACATACATGGGAAGACACACAAAATACACACTTCAACGCATATACAGTATAAAGACATAAAGCATATTCAGCATGCACACAGGACACACACACAATCAGAGCACACACAGTCAGAGCTCATACAGCACACAGGGCAAAACACAAGCACACACAGACAGAGCACATATAGCACACAGGGCACACACAGCACGCATACAGTCAGAGCACATACAGCACAAAGGGCATGCATATATAGGGCACACAGTCAAGGAACACACAACACACAGGGCACACACAGCCAGATTGCTAACCGCACACAGGGTATGCACACACAGCACACACACACAGTCAGACTGCTCACTGCACGCAGGGCATGCACACACAGCACACACACAGTCAGACTGCTCACCGCACACAGGGCATGCACACTCAAGGCACACAGGACACACACAGCACACAAGGCATGCACAGTCATAGCACGCGGGGCACACACAGGGCATGCACAGTCAGAGCACATGGGGAACACACAGGGCACACACAGCACACACGGAACAGATGTCAGAGCAAGCACAGCACACTGGGCATGCATTTTCAGAGCACACAAACACTTTACAATACCACTTTTTAATAAGGCAAATTGTAGAAGAGCATGGAGGCCGCATTGGTGGAATTTCCATTTCTTCTTCTAACATTCCACCAACATTCTTCTTACATGTAAAAGAATGATGTCAGTGTGGATCTAGCCAGGTATGGGGGATACAAGAACAGCCTTCTGGCAAACTCGCAGCATTATTCCTTTGTATACATAACCCGTAATAACAATCCTTAACACATTATATATTTTGTCCTTGTGTATATGGCTAAGGTTATTAGCACGAGTCACACAATGGAATAATACCATGCAGAGGCCTACCGGATGATGGCGCCATACCATGAGCAGGTCTAAGGAGTTATGTACTTCAAACAATAGAGGAAGACAATGTAACATTGCGGCCGTTGTACTAAAGCAGCCATCTCTGGTGAGCCGATGTGGAACTTATTACTAGAACATAAGTGTTGCACTCCAGGTGGCCATGCTAACGTATTCTCTGTGTATGAGGAAACATCCACCACGTTTGCAATGTTCACTTGCAACTGTTGAGTGACTTTGGCACAACTCGATACTCCGCCCCCTCCCCCCGAGAGCTTCAGAAGCCTTCCTAAAAATATTGTTTGAATTCAAGCTTCATAACGCCGTGTACGCAGTCGCGCACACTCCAATAAAACACACAATTGTGAATTAGCCGTTCTAGGAACGGGCACACTTTGCTATTATAGTATGAAATATGGTTCTAACCGTGGACGTCCCACTGCGCATGCTGCTTCTTACTGTTGTCATACGATGAATTTCCACCAAAATATCAATATCTTCATCTTCCTCTTCCTATTAAAAAACAAAGATGGTGAAAATTAACAAATGTAACAAGTTTGTCAGAAACAATTTATGTTGCATCAGAAAGAACCGAATATATGACCCGGCCTGATTTAAAGGAGAACTATGGGGGTCAGTGTTTTTCCCCATAGTTCTCCTCAGGGTCATGCAAGGACATATACTAGTATCCTCCCGTCACCCAAAGCTCGCTGCAGCTCGCTGTATACTGAGACCGCCGCAACTGGGACGGATCCCGACATTACTGTCGAGATACACCCAGCTGCGTGATTGACAGCTGGCTCTGCCTATCTAGAGGCAGAGCCAGCTGTAACCGGCCCCCTCCCCCATCCGATCCTCCAGTCAGCTCTGGAGTATCGGAGCAGGGGGGGGGGGGGAGTCTCGTGGA